AACCCTGAGCGTTAACACTGCATACCAAGAAGGGTGGTCGAGAAGTTGGTTCCATTTGAAGTACAAGCACAAGCCACTGATATTCTCTATGTGATCAGGTTTTTACAAAAAAATACATAGTTTTCAATAAATAATGCTTAATTTTACAACTTTGATACAGCAACGTCATACACTGTTTTAACACACTAAACTCTGCATGCTATAGATAGTCTACCCCAAGACACAACGTCCCATGCATTTTCTTTTCCCTAGTGCTATCAAACACTTCATCCTCCAGCGCACTGTCTCAGGTAGCTTTTTACCCTCTTTTCTGTTCACAGCAACAGGTCCTGCGCTGACATGCAAACCCTAAAAAAGGTTCCCCCCCACAAACCACTCAGACTTCTAAACAAAAGGGCTTTTCAGCTTTTCCGCTCCCAACCCTGGAGTGGCTCTGAAAGTTTAAGTTTCATGTGGCCTTGAAAACTACACACTTGTTCACAGGGCCATGCTGAAATGGCTCTAAGACATCGGGTCACCCTGTCCCGGGGGCCGGCAGAAGCTCTACGCAATGTCACAGCCACCGGGGGTCCCGAACCTGAAAACGAGGCCTCCGTTTTACAACAGTCCATTCAAACAAAGGTGTCACAAAACAAATGCAAGACTCCTAAACCTACAACATATGTACAACAGCAAAAGCAGACAAAGTGAGGAGTCCATGGCGATGGTGTGGAACGAATTTCCCTGCATGACTCAGGGACGAGGCATACTGTGTGTGAACATAAGCTGGGTGAAGGAAAATGTGACAGAGGGCCACCGTCCATATCCATTTGATCAAAACTCTTTCTATCGGGTGTTATTTATTATTATTTCCAGTTGTTCCTTTTGGAAGGGGGAATGTAATGTGTTTAAAATAAGCATACATTAAAAAAGAAGCAGAGAAACACTTTGAGGACCTTGGAGGAAATTCCAGTTTTTATGTATTTTCAAGCTTGTTGTCGTATTGCTTTGTTTTATCACTGTCACAGAAGAGAAAAATCTACACAAAAGAAGTTTGATCAAATGGTAGGCCGGGAGCCTCTCTCTGTATGCACATCCAGGTTGCTTAAAAATCACCAACTGCTCATTGGAAACCACAGCTCAACTCCATCCTATTGCTCTTTAGTGGTTTGTTTACTCCTTGAGTGGTCTTGCTTGCAGCTGCAGGCAACCACGAGTGAGTTCCTGGATCATTTAAAACCGTCCTATCTGTCCATGGGCAGAGGTGCTGGATCTCGAAAGAATATCTCTACCCAATAAAATTATTACTTTTATACATGGAACCTTATGAACTTATGTTTCCCTTTGTAAGCCTTCTTATACTTTCTGCACTTTTGTGCTTTTTATTGAGTATAAAAATAGGTCTCCTTTAAAATTCTGTTTAAGTTCACTAAAAAACTACTTGTTTGTGAAATTCTCTTATAAATCCACTGCATCCACATGGAAATAGAGAAACGAATTAGGCAGCTAATGGATATAGGTAGTGTTAAAAAAATGCAATGAAGAAAAAAAAATAAAGGCATGGTAGGGGTCAGGAAAAAGAAGTCAGAAGTAAGGAAAATGAACAGAGCTTGGTTTTGTGAATTTTGTTTAAATTTTATTATGGTTGAAAACACAGGATCCACAGAAAGAGAAAAAACAAAAACAAAACAAAACAAAAAACAACTCAAAAACCCAAACCTGAGTTGGTATCAAAGAGCAGAATTTTTCAGGTCATCAAACCAAAGGGGAGATGGTAGAATAAACCAAATAGAATGAACAGTGAGAAAGAATCAGGAATCAAACACCAAAAGAAAGCCAAATCTCAGAAAAGCATGTCACAGGTCGTTATGGAGACGGTTATTTGGGAACTTGGAAATTCTTGTGATAAGATACATAAGGCTCTTGCTTGTTATCCTCACAGGCCGTAGGCTATACAAAGGGGTTTTGAAACTGACATTCCTAATGGGCATTTTATAAAATTTGGCCCTTAGAATAACTGAGAAATATCCTGAAAAAAGTTTCCCTGAAACTGTAAGAAAGAATGTTTTCTTATTTTTATCTACTGATAAAGTCCACAACTTAGTAAACTATTTTCGCTGGTCTTCCCACGTAAGAAAAAAGCACAAATATAGTTGCCTTAGAAATCTGTGAAAAGCAGAAGACCTTGCAGGAAAAGAGTATAAAGATTCTATAAATGGGAGAGTCCAAGAAAAGCCTCTCTCTGAAGTGTCCACAAAGATACATATGCCCGTTAGGAGAAAAAAGTAAGAATATACATACTATTAATCATATCAGAGAATAAAAAAGTTAAGAGTGATATATTTATATCGAATGACTACCTTAAAATAGAGCAAGTTATTTGCTTTATTTCTCAGATTCCTTGGGCAAGTCATCTAAATTCGGACACAAAAAACAAATGTACATTTCTTGTACTATCCCAGTATTAAGATGATGGTGGTTTTCAATTCCCAGAGAGGAGAAAAATAAATCTTGCCTTTTGAGCCTTTTTTTTTCCCCCACAAAAAAACAACTAAATCATCCTGCTGGCTACAAGCATGCATATTCAAACCCCTTCCCTTTGATTAACATGAAAAAGAAACGTCTCTGGCCCAATAGTTGCAAGGATTTTTTTTCTAGCTAAAGGATAATCATTCTACAAATAAATTGCCCAGTGATGGGCATTCCGAACAGACATAACATTTGCAAAGCACAGTTAAGTACACTGCCTTTTATTAGCATTTTTTAATAAAAAGGATCATATGAGAGTGTAGCAAATGGAAATTATTTCCACAGCTTAAAGAATCAATAAGATGCTGCTGGTTCAAGTTCTTAAAGATGGAAATCTCACTAAAATGCATTCAGTCTGTGAAGGAGTTACAGACAGCAGGGCACCCAACCGGCTGGGCTTTGAGCAGCACCCACCCCACCCCCATGTTACCATTTTAAGATATTCTGTCAATGTTTAGTTAAAAATAAGACTTACTTAAGAGACAAAAAAATACGACCAAACTTTTATTGACGCCTATCCAGTGGCAAGAACACATTGTGCATTGTATTATGTTGTAGACATTCGAGAATTTATTAAGAATGATTTTCACAATGCGTTCATCAAAAGAGCCTTAAATATTGTTAAAAGGGCAGTGAAGCGCCTGTCCTGAGTTCTAGCAGGTTTTCAATTTTGATCGCCAACCAACTACTTCTAATTTTCCCATCGAGAATTTCGGCCACATAGCTTTAAAGAATAATAAAATTTAGGCCAAATCAAGGCATGTTACGAACTGACTTAAAAGTTTCTACCTCACCACAGAAAATGCCCAAGATTCTCCTTTGATTTAAAATGCAAAACACATGCAAAAGTTTTTAGATCCGCAAAATACACAGAATCAGCCCTATCCACGGGTTTTGTGTTTTCAGTAAGTTTCAGGACTGCAGCAGGGTCTGCCACGGAAATTCACCAGCACCCAACCACGGTCAATTAATTGTAAACCGCTGGTCGAATTATTTGTGGCTAAAATAAACGTCCCACTTATGCCACGATCACCATGGGGGCGGAGGAGGTAAACAACTGCAGAAATCCAGCTCTGTCCTGGGAGCCCTGTTAACAGTACCACGCGCCCTTTCTTTCCCAAGAGTACCACTGCGATCGGACGGCTCAGCGACCGGAAGGAGAAAGCCACAAAGAGGAGACTCTGTCCTCCGCCTAAAAGGCTGGCCGGCCGCACGTCCCAGGGTGGGGGCTGGGGTACGGCTCGCCCAGCCCCGGACTCCGGGAGGCGGGAGGCGGGAGTCTGGGATGGAGGGCGGGAAGGACGCGGCCCCTCTGGCCTAGAAGCGCCTGTGGCCACGCAAAGGCCTCCCTCGGACCTCGCCAAATCTCAGTAAAAACCAAGGCCCCGTGTCCCTAATCACTTCGGTAGATTTAAGAGTCGTGGTGATTTTTGCACCGAGTTTCAATTAGCCATTGCAAATCGCCTGCCTCGTAGGCCCCGCAGCTCCGGGTGAGCTGAGCTCCGCCGCTGGCGCTCCGGGCCCCAGGGGCCTCCCCGCCTCCCTCCGCGCCCCCCCCCCCCCGGGAAAGACGTGGCAAAGGCGCCCAGGAGGAAGGGGTGGGGAGGCGTGGAGCCCACCGTGGGCGCGCGATCCCCCTGGTTTAGCCAGCCAGGGCCTGCGCAAGGGCTGGGGACAGGGCCAGGTATGGACGAAGGGGGGTGGGGGGGTGCTGGCTGAGCGACCGTCCTCAGTGAGCAGGGCGCCCGCGCAAAGGGTGGCTGCCGCGGACGCCCGAGGTCCGAGGAGGTGGCTGGAGGACAACATCAAGATGCAAGAGCCACCTTTTCCGGAGGCCCCCCAGCAAGGAGGCGGGTTCCCGGGATGCCCTGAGAGGCCCCGGGGCGCCCGGGGAGCCTCCGCCCCGGCTTGGCTTTCTTCCCCCTGCCTGGAGACCTGGCAGCTACTCTCCCCACCCAGCACGCCGGGAACACAGCTCCTGCCTCCCCAACAGCCACCGAGATCTGAAGGGCCTAGACGCACGCAGAGGGGGGACCCAGAGAACCACGCCGGTCCCCAGGATCCACCACGCTCGCCCCCGATGCCCACGAGCGGGCCTCGGACCACACTGACTAAGCCTGCAGCCACCCTCGTCTTCCATCCCTTAGCCCTTGCCCGGGACACCGACGCCAACGACCTCTCCTCCATCCGCCCCCTTTTCCCGGTCACCGCGAGAGGCCAAGAACGGTGCGGGTACTCGCCACCAGCATCCGCCTCTGCGCACACGCAGAGGAAAAAAAATTCAAAACTCCAAACTGCCTCCTCCACCCTCCGATGGGAAGCTCGGGGATCGGAGCGCCCAGAGAGCCTCGGTCCCAGCGACGCACGATCGGTTCCGGACCTGGATGGGTTCCCAGAACTGCGCCAGAACTCACGGTCCAGCGAGCGCAGGACCCCGACCGCGCAGCTCTCCGAGCCCGCGCGTCCTGAGCCGCCGCAGAGCCCCGCGCGTCCCGGAGGGAGGAGGAGGAGGGCAGGAAGGAAATGGGGGTGGGGTGGGAGGGAAGGCAAAGAAGCTCTTCCCGGTCTCGCACGACTGGCGGGAGGGAGCGGAGGGATTCTGCCACTAACTGCGCACCAGCCTGGCTCTCTCAGGACCGTTCACCCGCGCAGCAGCAGGCCCCCGAAGCACACCGTAGGCCGCCAGAGAGACTGTGGGCCACGCGAGTTCGCATCAGTCCCAGCTGATTTATTAAAATTACCAAGATACAGACTTCCAGCACAAAACAAAACAAAACAAAAAAACCCACCCCACCCCCAAATGAAAACAAAACAAAAAAACCAGGCAATGATGACAGCGCATTGGGCCTGCCTTGCCACCATTTGCTACAAAATATGCAGACGGTCTGTACTTTATTTAGATTATATTGCACAAAATGAGAAACTTTTTTAAAAACTATGTGCCTTTTTTTCCTTTTTGCTAAAGATCGAGAATCCAGTTTCAAACCTTCCACCTGGGGCCCCATCCACTCTCACAGCGTATGAGATACATAAAACCCTACTATAGTACAGTACATACACAGTCTTTAAACTAAGGTAACAGCTCTGAGGTCTATATTACCATCTTCAATAAATCTTTACCTACAAATATGGAACAAATCTCTACTATAGCTGTACAAAAAAAGTTTGCTTTGTTTTAAACCACAAGGCCTTTAGATGCAAGGATTACTTTAAAATTTTAATCCTTTTAAAAACCAGGACATAACGTACCAATAGCATGCTAAAAATTAAAAAAAAGAAAAACCCAGGAAAATAAAAGAAATCAAAAGGAAAGAAGTGCCTGAAAGTCTTACTGAAAAAACACAGCAAGAATGTTCCCTTTTCACTGTACAAAAATACGCCTGAAAATATATTAATTTTTAAAAAAGGCTGAGGTCTGTTTATGTATCAAAAATGTTTCAATACCTTTGTACTGAGGTCTTAGGCTGTCTGGTATTCAATCAAAGAGGTATAGGGAACAAGTCACCAAAAAAAAAGTTGGCAAGTAGAAATCACATTTGTAAAACCATAAACAATTTTGATCTGAAAAGTAAACTCTGATCTTATGTCAGTTCACAGTTTTTCTTTTTTTGTAAGCGTTTGTACAGTCTGCATTCTTCAAGCTCCCTGCAGTTTTGTTTAAGAATCGGATGCATAGAAGACATCAGTTTTCTCCCTCCAAAAAAAAAAAAAAAAACCCAAAAACCAAACCAAAAAAATAAAAAACCAATAAAATAAAATAAAATTTAAAAAGTTGCAATGGTCCCTTTTTAGTTTTTTTTTAAAAAAACACCAGTTCGTTAAGATCTCCTACGAAACAAAATCACCGGCTCCCTAGGGTAAGTTGTGCCGCCTAAGGGGGTCACGGTAGACGTGTTCGACTTCCAGCAGCAGCCGGCCTCCGACGGCGCCTTTCCGGAGCGGCGCGGCAAGGCCTCCGCTCCCCCGCCCCCGCCCCGCCCCGCCCCCTAGCCTTTGCGGCAACACGAATTTCAGGAAAAAGAAATAGTAATTACAAAAACACATTTTTGGGTTGGGTGTGGGAAAAAAAATCACAACTGCAGACTAGTGTGCCACTATCTTGAGAACACGATCAAAGAAGGAAGGGGGAGGGGGACCAAAAAGAAAAAAGGCAAGAAAGGTATTTCAAAACTACTCATTTCACTTTAACGCCACCCCAAAAAATTCATCATCTTTTCCAATTTCTTTGCGTTTCATCTTAGCAATACCATCAACTTCTTCTTTCCCCTCCGCCCTCTAACCACCACCACCTTTATCCCGACCGCCACGACCTCCTCCCGGGGAACCCAGCTCTGCAGAGAGCCTGGAGGGGCTGGGGGGGCTGGGGCTCCCCATTTCAATACGTGAACACCAGGTCGGAGAAGTTCGCCTCCAGCCAGTCCCCCGCGATCATCTCGCTCAGCTCCGGCGTGCAGTAGTCGGGGAACTCGAAGTGGGACCCCAGGCTGCCCTCGCTGAACGAATCCAAATCCTTATCCACCAGCGAAAGGGACAGGTTCCCGGCCGCCGCGCCGCCCCCCAGCTGCTGGTCGCTGGCGCCGTGCGCGCTTTGGGAGAAATTCAAGCTCAGGTCGAACATCAGGTCGTCGGCGTCGTCGCCCGCGCTGCTGCCGCCACCGCTGCTGCTGCTGCTGCTGCTGCTGCTGGAAGAGGACGAGGTGGACACGGAGCGCGAGGACCCCGGCGACAGCGCGGGCTGCGCCAGCGGCGGTGCGTGCTGCTTGGTGATGTTCTTGAAGCTGTAGTAGAGGCGGCTGCCTCCCCCCGCGCCCGAGGCCGCGCCTGCCCGCACCTCGTCGTACAGGCTGGTCCCCTCGGGGGACTCGGCCGCGCTGCTCAGCGTTGGGCTGGCGGGCACTTTGGCGACGTTGTAGCGTCTCAGCAGCTGCGGCGGCTGCTGGTGCCCCGGGGGCTGCAGGAGCTGATGGTGCGCGGGCTCCTCGTCCTCCTCGTCCACCTCCTGCTTGATGCGCATCTGCAGCTCGTCCTCCTCGTCGTCCTCGTCGTCGTCGTCGTCCAGGAACACGCACTTCACCGACTTCCCTGCGCCCGCGCCTCCTCCCGTGCCGTTGGCGCGCAGGCTCCCCAGCGCGTAATCGTCGCCGGCGCCCCCGAAGTCCCCGGGCTGGGTGGCCTTGCCCGTGCCCGCCTTGGCGCCGGCGGCCGCGGGGGCCTTGAGCTTGGCGCATTTCTTGCCGGAGCCCTTGGAGGTCTTGGCGCTGCCCGCGCCCGCACCGCTTGCGCCCCCGCTTGCGCCGCCGCCCGCCGCGCTCTTCTCCGGGCTGTGGCTGGCGCTGGGCTTGGCCGAGGGGTCCATTTTGGGCTTTTTCCGGGGTCGGTACTTGTAGTCGGGGTAGTCGGCCATGTGCTTCAGCCGCAGCCGCTCCGCCTCCCGGATGAACGGGATCTTCTCGCTGTCCTTCAGCATCTTCCACCGCTTGCCCAGCCGCTTGGAGATCTCGGCGTTGTGCATGTCCGGGGATTGCTCCATGATCTTCCTGCGCTCAATCTTGGACCACACCATGAAGGCGTTCATCGGCCTCTTAATGTGGCCCGAGGCCGTCTTGCACCAGTCCGGGTCGCTCTCGTCCAGGGCCACCGGGCTGCACGCCATGAATTCGCCCTCCTCCGTGTCCAGCGCCTCCCGGGGCAGGTTGCTCTCCGCTTCCAAGCTCTCCGCCTGCTGCACCATGATCCGCCGCGGGGCTGGGCGCGCCAACCCGGGCCGCTAGCTGTCGTTGCTGTCGCGCCTTGATCCCCCTCCCCCTCCCTCCCCTCCACCTTCCCGGGCAACTTGCAAAGTCCTCGCGGCTCCCGGGGTCCGCGGTGCCCCCCCTCCCCCCCGTCCCCCCTTTCCAGGCTGCGCACAGCGGCTGCGGCCGCGCGCTGGGGGTGGGGGCTGCGACTCCGACCAGAGAGGAGGCGAGGGCGACGATGGTGAGGACGACAGCGGTGGGGCGGTGGAGACAACCCGGGACCCCGCTCTGTCTCTTTCTCCGGCTCGTGGCTCCTAGCGCCGGACCCGGGCACTTCCAGGCGCGCGCGCTGCTTCTGCAAAAAGTTGCGGGCTCTCTCTCAACTCGTTATCAGTGTGTCATATGGGTGACGTCACTCCCGCAGCCAGCCAATGGCGAGCCGCCGACCCCGCCCACCTTCCTTTATTAACCCAGAGGCCCGCCCCGCGCCCCGCCCCCCGGGCTGCTTTGCAAAGATGGGGGCGGGGAGGGGGGGTGGGAGGAGGCAATGTCTAGAAATGTGTTATTTTTAAAAAATCCGCGTGTGCGCACAGATGCACCTCTCCTCGGGATGCTCCAGAGCGGCGCACAGCACCGGACCCCGGGAGAACCAGGCTGGTACCGGTGCCAACAAAAGGACCAGGTCCCCCGGGAGGTCCAGCGCCCCTTTGTGCCCCGGAGACTTGGTCCTGCCAGCCGCGGGGGGGCCCCCCGGTACCCTCTCCAAGGGCGCACACTCGGACCCGCTCAAGACCCGGACACGAGATCGAGGGTGCGTGGTGCCAGGCAGGCTCGGCTCGGCTCAGTTGTTCCCCGGGGGTACCGTTGTTCCCCGGGGGTACCGTTGCTCCCCGCGCTCCCAGTCCGCTGCGCCTCTGGCCGGCGGAAGGTGGCGCTTTAACACAGCCACCTTCTGTGGACACGTGGGTGCTTTCCTCCCTGTCCCTTTCTTTTCCTAAGGCAGGCAAAGAAAACCATTTGCAAAGCCGGAGAGGCTGTAGTCTCCCTGCCCCCGTTTGCATTTTAATTTATTTTTTATTTTTGGTTTTGTTTTGTCCCTTTTCTCCGTCTGTTTGCCCTCTCAGCGCGCGCGCCTTTGGAGACGTTGCGGTGCGCTTAGGCTGGGCCGCGCCCCCCGCCGCGCGCCCCGCCCCTAGTAACGGTCTGGGGGTTCGGCTGGTGCTGCGTGTTCGCCTCTGGTCTGGACGACGGGGTCTCGGGACCCGGGGCTTCGCTCCTAGCCCCACTCGGAGCGTCCCGAGGGGCTCGCTCTTCCCGGCTCCGCGCTCTGCTCCCCTCGCCCCTCCCCCGGCTCCCTTCCTCCTTCCCAGTCCTCTCTTCCTCTTGGTCCCTTCCCCCTCCTGGGTCACCGACGCCCTCCGCTGCAGCCTGCTCCTGAAATCTTGCAATCGCGAGCTTCACTAGCCTTCTGGGTCACTTGCTAGTTTAGCTCAACAACAAAAAGCAAAGCTGAAAGAAGGTGCGCTCGGGTTCGCAGTCCGCATCTTTCCGATCCGCGCGAGGCCGAACAAAGGTGGGCTGGGCGGCGGCGAGGCGGCGGCCCCTGCCCTGTGCAACCGGCCTGCCACCCAGAAACCCGTTTTCCTTTGTCTTCTCGGTCCCGTTAGCTGTCCCAGGCTATTCCGGGGGCGAGCAAAGCACAGCGGCCGCTGCCCACCTCATCTCTGCGGTCAGCCCGGCTCCTCGTCACTGCCCAGCGCGGGCGCCTCGGAGCGGCTCCTGCTCCCCACCCCCGGGGCGCACGAGCAGAGGAGCTGCTGGCCGCCGGTAGGGCCACCCCAGCCCCCTTCTCTCCGGGTGCCCTCTCCGCAGACTGCCCCGAATTTCTTCTTCACTTCTGCATTTTTTCTTGGGAGACTTTCACGTAAAACGGTACCAGGTTTGCACAGACTCATTTGCAAAAAAAAAAATAAATAAATTACCGTGGCTGTACTTCATCCCCTTCCCATGTTCATCCTAAATAAAAACGCTTCTCCAAATGTTGCTAATATTCAAGCCAACTTAAATCTTCGTAATTCTGGGATTTCATTTTATTTTATTTGGAGCCATGGGAAAGGAAAGGATTTGCAGTCTTTCGCACGGGGCGATCTGAAGCTTGGAGACTTAACGCCCAGGCAGTGTGTGAACTCCTCTTCCCTCGGCGTCCTTCCCTACCTCGCGGATTTCCCCGCCCTGGGGCCGCGGGGGAGGGCGGAGCCCGCAGAGGATCTGCGCCCCCCAGCACGTGTGACAAATCCACGCTCCAGAGAGAGGAGGGGCTGGAAAAGCTTGAGGCACTGGATCCTCGCGTGCAAAGCCTGAGGACACCGACCGTCTCTGACTCCGCACGGAACGCAGCTGAAGTTAGTGGACGGATCCACGGCCGGCCGCGTGTGGCGAGGCTGTGTAGAAGGAATCCTGCTCGGCTTCAGAGAGGAGGGCCGGAGTGGGGGCAGCGAGAGAGGTGGGCTCTCAGAAGGCTGCGATCCTTTGGGAAGAAATAGAAGTTAGAGATCTCCTCTTTCGAGTAAGATATGTAATGTCTGTTCATAGAAAGATGGACAGGTGTTGGGAAGATAAAGCCGAACAAAAGGCAGGCTGACAATGAGGGAAAGATCTCATTTGTCTTGGGGACTACACCCTGCAGAGCCTGGGACGGAAGCCACCTGCAGGCGGGGACCCCAGCGAGCAGATCCGACCCCCCCTTCGCAGAACAGCCAGAGGCCACCCCCACCCGAGAGGCGCCCAGTCCCTGTTTGGGGACACGGACCTACCTCTTGAAGAAGGAAAGGAAAAGAGAATTCAAAGAGTACCTTGCGCCCTTTTTTCTTTCCATTTTTGCTTCCTAGGCTTCACTTAAAGATAAATATAACTTTAAAAAAATAAAGAGGAATGTGCTTGAAATGCTACATGCTGCCTGTAAGAACTATTCACTCGTGAAAAATGTGTGTGTGCAAAGTCAGCAGGAGCCATCTTAAGGAATTTTAGACTAGCAAGTAGAAAAAAATATAAATAAATATATAAAATATATTAACATATCAAAATATACAAATATAGATAAATATATAAAAATAAAAATATATAATGTCTATGTATATTTTGTATTGCTGGGGATTGAACCCAGGGCCTTCACACTGATCTATATCTCCAGCCATTATTTATTATTATTATTTATTTTGAGACAGGGTCTCACTATTTTGCCCGGGCTCTGCCTGAACTGGCAGTCCTCCTGCCTCAGCCTCCTAGGGTGCTGGGATTGCATGTGTGAACCACTGTACTCTGCTGTGATCTTCTTTAGTAATGTATTTCTTGAAAATCTAACTTAGTAAAATGAAAACGGTTCTGTTTTTTTAAACCACTGATGTAAATAAGGACTGGGCCCTTCAGCCATCTTTTCAGAGGAAACAGACTTGGATTCTGTGTCTGTCTCTATCCAGGGCCTTATTCATGATCAGGATGTGCAGTGTTCCTGGTAACAACAAACAGTTGCTGGATGCGTAATTAATGGGCCATCTTCATGATCACCTTTGATTGCAGTCACAAATGGCTGTATTGTTGTGGTGATTATTATCTTTTCCAGTGCATTTTTCAAAAAATAATAAACTCTACTTGTAAGGATTATTAGGAAGATAAGATAGCACACAACATCTCTCACAATTACAACACATACGAATAAATAAGAGATACTCCTTTTCTCCTCTGAAGAAGAAACATTTCATTAAGCAAATAATAGTCTACAAATGTCACTGGGTAAATATTTGACTGTTTTTACTGAACACCGTTTTCTGGGAAGCCATGAAATAGCATGCTTTCCTCTTATTCTTTTCCTGATCTCCCAAAACAAGTTCCTCCACTCCTCCGGTTCGAGGGCATCTACCTGTCCTTCAGGACCTGAACACTATCTGAAAACCCTTTGTCTACCGGACGTCCCACACCCACTGCATGTTCCATGTTAAATGTCTTTGGGAACAGAGGGGCCTGTGGGGACCTTGTCCTATGTTGGGGCATGGGCGGCCTGGGCCCTTTCATGTGTTCCCTAGTTTGCTGACTCTCCTCACAGTGGACACGGAGATAAAAATAAAAGTGAGGGGGCCATCTGCACTCTTCACCCTACATGTGTGTAGTGAAACACCAAGGTCTCTGTAAGGTTAATATTTTTGTCTTGGAGAATTCCACCACCCCTGCAGGATCTGACACCTGTCTAGCTCTAAATACGCATTGCCTCCTCCTGCTTGCTAGGCTTTAGGGTTTTCCATTTCCTTCTTCTTACCTAGAACCTTCTCTTCCCCTGTGGGTGCAACTCCCTTGTTGCACATGGGGCCAGGTACCCCACTGAGATAAGATGGGATGTCCTTGCACACACATGCACACACACACACACACACACAGAGCTGTATGGAATTATCTTCTTTCATCAGCACGCACTGCAATAGTCCAAATAATCCCCCCCCCATTAAGTTTATTGGTACATTTTCGGTATAAAATGCAGTTACATTCATCATTGGGATCTTGTACCATTACATGAGTCTCTTGGTTCTTATTTTTTCCCCCTTCCCTTGCCCTCCCTTCACCCCTCCACACTTCCCTATTTGCAAAGACCTTGTTTCCATTTTTTTTCCTCTTCCCTTTTTTCCTTTCCTCTACCCCTCCTAATTCCCTTGCTCTTTTAGACCTTTTCTTCCTGTTACACAATATACGTTTTTAAAATTAAAATATTAAGATCTAGGAGACATCACACAGATTTTACAGAATTTAAAAGTATATAGAAAGCATATTACAAAAATATTTTTTGAAATAAATTTGACAACTTCTAAGAAGTA